GAGAATTAAGGAATGGACTACATGTAATGTACTCACATCAGAGCCTGCCATATAAATTCTCAATGAATTTTAGCTGCTGCTACTGTTGCTATTACTGTTATTATTATCATTGACCTTAGCCTGTCTTCAGAAAGCTCATAGTCTAGCAGGGAGACAGAGAAGTGGGTCTGTACTTGATAGACTCCCCTACATGGCTCTCTAAGTTCTGGCCACCCTGCAGAGTCTGCCGTGTCTGAGCCAGCCTAGGGAAAGTCAGGGAGGGCTTTCAGGAGGAGGTGGCCCAAGTGAAATCTTAATGAACAAATAGTGGCTTGCTAGGAGAAGTGAGGGCAAGAGGTGTGGAAGGGTGTTCTGAGCAATGGGAACAGCATGTGCAAAGGCATGGAGGAGGCACAGAGGACCGAGAGCAGCAACCTCTGAATCCCCCATCTCTGCTCCACTCTGTCTCTTTCTGAACACTGAGGCATCGAGTGTGGGCCAGGTGCCTCCCACGGCACGTGAGATGGTTTTATGCTCTCCTACGGGCACGTTACATAAGAGGCCCATCCTCGTGGCAAAGCTGCTTCCCTTCAATCTCCTTAGGAGGAGTGAGGCCTCCATCAGGTGTCATTGTATCTTTAATGCCTTTCTTTCCTGACATTTGCCATTTCCTCCTCCCACTTCCAGCTTTGAAAAAAATGTAGACTTTTTGGGGTAGTGGAAATGTCCTACATCTCGATTGTGGTGATGGATACCAGGGAATAGAACATTGGGCAAAACTCATTGAACTGTACACTCAAAATCTGTATGTAGAAATAATGCCTTACTTAAAAAAAATGAGCATCGAGGAGGAAGAAAAAGTGGGCCTGAGGCTGGGAGACTTGGGCTAGCAACGGTGTCTCACTTGAATTTAGTAACTTTTATTTTGATTGTATTTTTACCCTTCCTTCTATTTATGGAGGTGACACTGATTTTCCATTTGTGGCAGCAGTGTGAAGTTTCCTTAAAAAAAAAAAAAGTCATATGTGAATGAATTTAAATAGAAATATTAAGTAAATAATATTCACTGGTGGTACATGAATATAGCAAAGATCATGCAAGTGGTAAGAAAAGCAAGCTCTTTGGAAACCCTTCTGAGAGAATCGGGTGCTTCTGAAATGAAAGAAACTTGGCCCAGGGCTGCGTGGGCATGGCGCGGGCTGCAGGGGAGCTGTCTGCAAGGGTGGCAGCTGTTTACAGACACAGCGAAGAACCCTAGCTACTCAAAGAGATAGTTGAACGAGGAGCCTTTTGTCTGTGAGAATTACTGTCAAATGTCCAGGCGACTGAGAATTAAATAATTATAAATTACCTCCATATTCCTTGCTTGTGGGTAAACTTTCAAAATCCTGGGGAGAGAAAAGAAAAAGACACTCTACTGCTTGGATTAATTAAAACCAGTGTAAATACTTTACATGCTTTTGCTCAGCAGAGACTGGCCTTTCTGTTTTTCATTGCTGCCCAAGAGTGTGAGTGATGTGTGTTTTTAAGTTTTCTGTGACTTTCACATCAGCCCGAGGAGGGTGTTTCTGCTAAGATGTAGCTCAGTTTTTCTGATAAGGCTGGAATTTTTGCTAAGAGGCTTTCTGTGTTTTGTTTTGCAGACTGTTGTCAAACATGGAGTTGACCTGGATCTCTTCCTAGATTAAAAATCTGTGCTCTCTTACCCCTCAGGAAGGGGTGTGTGTGTGTGTGTGTGTTTGCAGGCCCAAATGCAAGTTGATAATGAACTGCAGCTTTACGAGAATCTTAGACCCTACAGACTCTAGCTAGAAAAATGAAAAGATTTCAGAGCCAGAAGCAGACAAGGAGACAGGTTGGGTTTAATATTGTCCTGTTCCAAATGAGGAGGTCAAGACCTAGAGGGAGTGGGGGACTTTTCCAAGGTCACGCAGCTAGTTTGTAGCAGAGGAGGACTGGGACTCAATTCCCTGCTTCCCAAACCAGGTGTCATTACTCGAGATCATCTCACGTCACTCTGCTCCCCTTGGAACGGAATCAAATAAAAACATGTCCTTTGAAAATTGTATTTCTACTCTCAACATAATACAGAAATCAGAGTCTCCTTTCTGCCTCTGCCCCATTATTAATACTTAGTTCTTCTCCTTGGAGGAGGTCCCTGTTACCTGAGACTTCCAGAGAAAAACCTATGTACCCATCAGCATTGCGTGTGTGTGTGTGTGAGTGTGTGTACACACTCACCCTCTGTTTCTATCTTATGCATACTGTGTGCATCTTTAACACTATCTGCTGGTCATTATATATCAATGCAAAAAGAACCTTTTCCACCCTTTTATAGCTGCATTGTATCTCACTGTATGAATGACAGAATTTAACCCATCCCCAGCCAATGGATAGAAAGTTACTTCCAGTTCAGGGGGATTAAGAACAGGGCTGGACTAGTTAAACTTATGAACACATCACATTGCAACAGGAGTATACCTGCAGGAGAGATTTCTGAAAGTGCCATTGCGTGGTTTCAAGTGTACATGTGTTTGGAATTTTGATGTTACCAAATCACCCCCTCTTGAGGTTCTGTGTGTCTACCTTTTGGTTTCGATGTTAGCATCTTTGAGTAGCAATTTAAATATTTCGTGCTTTATTCATTTATTCAGCAGACTGACAATATTCTTGGAGGACCTGCTTTGTGGCAGATCCTGTCCAGGCGTTAGGGGTCCAGTGGGGGCTGGGGGAGCTGGGTGAGAGGCCAACGGTATAAGCAAGTAGCTGGAGAATTACTGAATTAGAATTGTGAGGAGCGCAGTGGAGGAGAGCAGGGACATGTGCATGGGGTCTGATCTCGTCTAGAAGGTCGGAAAGACTTCTGGGTGTGTGTGACACTTCAGCAAAACTCCAGTGAAGGAGTGGCCTTAGTTACCCAGAGAAGAGGGCTGGGCGGGGTTGGGGAAGGAGCTGTTGAGCCAAGGGAACAGCATCCTGAGGCAGAAAAGAGCTTGGCACTTTCTGAGAAGACCAGCCAGCTTGGCCAGAGTCCAGAGAGAGAGGAGAGGCCGCAGGGGCAGCAGAGGCTTCGCCTGGCCGGCCTAGTTGAGGTTATCCTGACCCCGGGGGCTGCGGAAAGTCATTTCTGGGCTCCCAGCTGAGGAGGGGCACCACGCAAACCCTGTAAGATCAGCTCAGCTAAGCCAGACAGCACCTCCGCCAGGGCGGCCGGCCCAGAAAGGGCAGAGAGGAAGAGGAGCATCTCTGTGCACAACCACCGATGCTGCTGCCACAGCGCAAACGCCAGCCACGGGCTCCGTGTGCGCGAGCAGGGGCGCCTTCGTTCCGATAAAACGTTATGAACACACACAACCAGCTTCGGTCCACGGGCTGGTGTTTGCCTGCCCTTTAGCAGGATGCGACCTCTAAACAGATAAGGTCTGATGTGACATGAGCTGCTAACGGGTTAGTGGAGAAAAGGTGGCCGGGAAACGGGGTGGAGAATGATCTTTTTGATGGGCCGCTCACGGGAGCTGCCGACTGAGCAGGCGTGTGAAGGAGTGAAGGGCAGCAGCCCCGTGGAGGTCGCCATGGGAGAGAGTTTCCAGGGAGAGGGGATTCCGCAGCAGGAGATGCTTGAAGAACGGGGGACGAAGTCAGCAGGGCTGGTGCGGGGTCAGCCTGGGGAGAGGCGGGTGGGGAGACAGGCTGGGGCCAGCCCGTGCTGAGGGCTGTCCTGGGGACGTCTCGGGGACAGCCTTTGAGCTGGATTTCGCTTTCCAGTGGACATTTCAATAGACGGCTGCATGGAGAGCAGACCAGAGAAGGGGAGTGTGGAAACGGGCCGACCAGGGAGAAAGCGACTAGCTCAGTGGGCGAGGGTGGCAGGAGGGGGCGGCAGGTGACTTGACTTGTTTCTGTTTTAATAGAGGAGTCAGACTTAGCTGATGGATTGGACTTAAGGGCATGAAAGAGTGGAGGCTGGCCCCAGTAGCAAGAGAGGGTGTGTGTGTGGGGGGGGGGGGGGGTCTCTGTTGGCTCTGGGAGCTTGAAGGAGGGGCAGGATGGGGGGGGGTGGAAACAAACAGTAGTTCCCTTGCTAATTTCGTCCTCCAGCCAGTGGGTTCTTTCAAGATGGCAGCAGAAGCCTGAGTTAGGTGGTCACAATTAAAGAAAAAATTGGATCATTTTGTATCCACTGATTTTACTAGTTTGGGAGCTCTGTAGCTACGGCTGTCTTTTGGGGGCCGTGTAGCTCATCTGTGGAATTTCCAGTCCTGTTTGTTCTGTATTTGGGTGACTCCCTTCCCCTCCCTGGACCTCAGTTTCCTCATCTGTAAAATGGCATGAGATGAGAGATGGCTCGGGAGTCTGGGCTGGAAATGAAGCCGCGTTTTACACGCGGGCACAAACATCTAGGATTTGAGCCTGGAGAGGGCTCCAGAGCTGGTGTGGCCTCCCCCTTGCATTCCTGTCGCTGCATCACATGGGGAGGATGATCAGACCGGCCTCGGTCAGTGTTTTTCAAACTGTGGGTCACGACCCACCGATGGGACAGGAAATCTGTTTAATGAGTTATGACCAGCATTTAAACAAAGTAACCCCAGACAGGAGGATAGATAAGAGTGCATCAGGGTAAGTATTGTTTGGGGAAGCTTTTGTTTCAGTGGCCAGTGAATATGATGGTGTGAACTGAATTGCGCAATGAAAGGGCACCTCCTTTTTAAGGGACAGAAGTTTGGAAGCTTTCCTGCGGCCAGCCTTCCAGGTCTCTGGCTGAGGCTGCACGTTGGGCCGGCCGTGCTCCTGCGCTAAACTCACCCCGCTTTGGTCTCTGTTCAGGGAACCTGGGATCAAGTCGCCTCAATTTCCTTCTGTGAGAGAAGGAGGTTCTAGCTTTGGGGTTTGGCGCGGTGGGGATTTAAAAAAAAAAAAAAAGAGAAAAAACAGGAGGCAAAACCCAACCTGTGATTGCTCTGCATGGGGAGCTGTGTTTTAGAGGCTTAAAAAGACCCCTCCTTCCCTCCTTCTCTTTCCAGAAGAACCCAGCGCACATAAGGTGGCCAGCCCGTCCTCCGGACTCTACCCCCCCGATGATGCCCTGGACTATGGCCTCAAGCCATACAGCCCCCTGGCCAGTCTCTCTGGCGAGCCCCCTGGCCGGCTGCGAGAGCCGGATAGGGTGGGGCCCCAGAACTTTCTGAGCCCGGCCAAGCCACCGGGGGCCTCGGGCCTGAGCCCTCGGATCGAGATCACTCCATCCCACGAACTGATCCAGGCAGGGGGGCCCTTCCGCGTGAGAGACACTGGCCTCCTGGGCGAGCAGCCGCCCCTGCCGGGGGTGGCGGCCACCCCGAGGTTCACGCTGCCCGTGCCGGGCTTCGAGGGGTACCGCGAGCCGCTTTGCTTGAGCCCCGCTAGCAGCGGCTCCTCTGCCAGCTTCATTTCCGACACCTTCTCCCCCTACACCTCGCCCTGCGTCTCGCCCAACAACGGCGGGCCCGACGACCTGTGCCCCCAGTTTCAAAACATCCCTGCTCATTATTCCCCCAGAACCTCGCCAATAATGTCACCTCGAACCGGCCTCGCTGAGGACAGCTGCCTGGGCCGCCACTCGCCCGTGCCCCGTCCGGCCTCCCGCTCCTCGTCGCCTGGTACCAAGCGGCGGCATTCGTGCGCCGGGGCCTCGGTTGCCCCACTGCCCGGAGCCTCACCCCAGCGCTCGCGGAGCCCCTCGCCGCAGCCCCGGGACGACGGCGCCCCCGCCGGGTACCCCCCCTCGGCCGGCCCTGCCGTCCTCATGGATGCCCTGAACAGCCTCGCCAGCGACTCGCCCTGTGGGATCCCCCCCAAGATGTGGAAGACCAGCCCTGACCCGTCGCCGGTGTCCGCCGCCCCGCCCAAGGCCGGCCTGCCCCGCCACCTCTACCCGGCCGTGGAGTTCCTGGGCCCCTGCGACCAGGAGGAGAGGCGGAACTCCGCCCCCGAGTCCATCTTGCTGGTGCCGCCAACCTGGCCCAAGCAGCTGGTGCCCGCCATTCCCATCTGCGGGTGAGTCCGGCTTTGGAAAGGATTTACTCGTGGCCGCTTTTCAGAGGAGGTTTTCTGGTGATGAGCATGGGGCTCGGGGTGGGCTGGGCTGATTTTCAATCCTGGCTCTCTCTGTTCCTGGCTGCCAGATCTCAAAATTCTCTGGGGAAAAGAATCTCTGAGTGGCAGTTTTCCCATCCGTTAGGTGGGTATAAGGGTACCTGACTTCCTGGATGGCTGTTAGGAGGATGCAGTCCAGTGGTGCCTGTGATTGCTCCTAAGGCACCTGGCATGTTCACTCATTCACTTATTTAACAATTATTTATCAAGCACCCACTGTGTGCCAGGTACTCTCAACAGGTGTTGGGGAGAAAAGGGTGAACAAAATGGGAAAGACAGTCTGCCTTCGTGGAGCTGACATTCTAGTAAGCACAAAGGTAGCCTCAACACATGAGATTTCCTGTCTTTTTTATAAGAAGAACTGATGTTGGTGGGCAGCTGCTGTGTGTTTTGATATTGCAATCAGTGATACGGAGCCCTCTGAAAACCTGGGAGCCGGAATCTTCAAGGAGCTTCAAATCTTGGCAGACTGAAGTGTAGGCGTGGGGGTCTCCCGGTCTGGACCTGAGTCCTGGCTCACAGGTCGTGTGATCCTGGGCGTGCGAGTGGCTGCCATCCTGCTGTGCCCAGATCAGGCATCACTAGTCACGCAGGGTTCTCTCTCGTTGAGCACCCTTTTGATGCTATGCCCAAGGCAGACGTTGCCAGTCAATCAGAATCTTCATTCTCATTGAGCACCTCTCTGCGCCTGTGTTCATTACCTGTGAGGTGAGGATAATAACAGTACCTACCTCATTTATTTTTTTTTTTAAAGATTAGGTGAGAGAATATATAGCAAACTCAACATAGAACCTACATAAGTTGGAGCTCATGAAAGAGACAGCTGTTATTGTTATCAGGGGAATCTTATCATTGTAGAGGAAGCACTTTGTTGCTTCCTGGTTGATGAGCTGGCTGCTAGGAGACTGAGCTCCCAGTAGCTGTTAGAGTGATGATACTGGCAATCCTCGTCACCAGCATGCCAGGATGCTTGCTGTGTGCCCGGCACACTTCTAATACGCCCTCTCTGGATTATGTCAGGCAATTCTCCCCCAAACCTGGTTTGTTTGTATATTTGTCTTCATTTCAATGATAAGGAAAATGAGATAGGTGCACAGAAATTGGGAGCAGATACTATTTTATTAGGTGAAGAATCAAAGCCTTTTGCTGTTACCATTACTCCAGTGGTTTTTAAAGTGTTATTTGCTTTTAGCAAGTGCAAGTCTTTTTTTTTTTTTTTTTTCCAAGTAAAATGTTGAATGCCAAAATCCCCCTACTCCCCTTCACCCCGGACCGAAATGGACTGAACGGAGCTTCTGGTCTTCAGGGCAGGTTCTGAGAACACTAGTGCCATCATAGATCAGTCAGTGTCCCGTAAGAAAAGGAGTTTCTGGGTTTCATATGTTCAATGACTGCCTCTGTGTAGGGGCTACTCCCAGCTGTGGACAGAATGTACAGTCATTTCAAAGGCCTTCTGGCTACGGAGCTCTGAGGCTCAAGTTTCCTGGAGCCACCTTAGGGCTGCCAATCAAGAACACCACCTGCTGCAGGGTGAGAAATTGGGGCTCAGAGAGGTGAAGAGACATGCTGTCAATACCCAGCTAGATCGTGACCAAGTTGGAAACCAGAATTTGAGATTCCTGGCCCCCTTGTTCTTTCTAATCAACTCCTGGATCCATCTCCAAAACATGACTTGTGTCATGCTTGGGAGTGAGGAGGAACATTGATGTAAGATATGGTTGTGAGGCATTTATCTGAGACTTTTTTGTATATGAAGCCCTTTCCTCTCTATTATGTGGCTTGATCTGAGAGGTTCTGATGGGTTAGAGTCCTTCCGCCCCTAGCAAGTGCCAATCTGTGCCTGCCAGTGAGATATTTCCAAAAGTTTTCTGTTAGATTGAGAGGATGGGTCATTCAAAGAAGTCTCATGATGATATTTATCTCAGGGAGTGTGGATAACTCCACAGGGGCTGAAATTCAAGTGTAGAATGTCAGGTTCATTCCAGTGGTCCGAGTCTTAAGGTTGTATTCTAATTGTTCTAGAAGCAAACAAAGTTAAAAGTTGGTACTTAGGGGTATTGCATTGAATCTTCTACTCACTATATTTTTTGATTAATACAGGGGTGGAGTGATTTTTCAATAAGACTTATTTTTCTAACTTTAAACAATTTTAAACTGAGAATATGAGAATAAGAATATGTAACACAGAGGGCACCCTGGTTGTAGGCAGAAGCTTGAAGGCATCTTGGAACTGTAGCCAAGGTAGAAATAAAGGCACTTTGGACACCCCGAGATTGCAGGGTTAGAGGGACTTCAGGGGGCAGTGTCATTATAAAGAATGGCTAGAGATTTGCTTGCATAGTGAGGATGTAAGTATAAGTTGAGTTGTGTGTTCAGGTTAAGCTGTAACACTGATGGAGGTTGTGGGGTTGTCCCCCTCTCCCTTGGAACTGCTCTAATAGAGAAGGATTAGAATTGACCTCATTGCAAATGCTTAATTAAGTCCAGTTGATAATGTTAGCTTCTAGCAGTTCTGGACTTAGCAGGAAAGACTATCCTGATTAATGTTTCCTCCTGCATGTGAAAAATCAGGACACAGTGACCCAAATTCATGCATTTGCAGCTTCAAAGCTACTTTGAACATATGAGGGTTCTTTGAAATAACACTACTTGTTCATTCTTTCATTTATCCTTCCATTTGTTCCTCCGCCCACCCACTGAATATTCATGGAAGACCAGGCACTGCTCTAGACTCATTCCATGAATTAAATATTTTCTCGAACCTATTTTAAATAAATTAGTAAGATAAGACATAAAGTAGAGGTGTGGAAGAAGCAAGAGGCTTAAATTGGAGATTTGACTATGTCTTCCTCTGTGATCTTGGGAAAATTTTTTTAGATTCTCTGGGACTCTGAGTGCATGCTCTAGATGTAGATTGTCAAGTCTTCAGTCATCTCTTCAGTGACATAATTCCAAGCTCATATCAAGTACCTGTTGTGTGTGCTGGGTAGGGTTGAGATTTTACAGTAAAATAAAACTTAATGGCTTGACCTCAAAGATCTTACAACTTTCAATACCATTAATACTACAGTCAGATTGTCTGACACTACCAATACCATTAATACAGATTGTCAACAGTAACATTTATTTGAAATATACAATGTATTACATGAAAAATAGTTATAGCTGATATTTACTGAGCATTTATTATGCATAAGCCCTTTCTATGATCTCAATGTCCCCACTTCATAGTTGAGGAAGCTAAGGCCTAGGGAGATAGAGGTGTTTGCTCAAAGCCACACAGGTGTTTGGAGATGGAGCTGGGACTTGAGCTTGGGTGTGTAATTTCAGCCTTGCTCTTGACCTCTAGCCCTCATTTAATTGTAGGGAGTCGGAGTGGTTTGGCTCATCCATGCCAAAACCGGACATCTCGCTGTGGTCAGATGTTCTACACTTGACCCGAGAAGTGATGACTATGACTGGGAATGGCCTCTTTCAAAATTTATTTTTATTGAGATAATCAGACATAGAAATAAGAGCTGGAAAAGCACTTCTAGATGCCATCTAGTTCATTTTTGGTTATAGGAGATTGAAAATAAAAGAGTTGAAGTTGCTTACTTAAAGTCACACGGCAGGTTAGTGATCCAATGGGACCCCTGATTTCTGTTACAGAGTTCCTTGTCCCACACTTACTCCTTTGGGGAAAAAAAAACATCCTGACTAAGGGCTATCCTTTGGAGGTGGGAGGTGATATTTTTCAAAATTCCCAGAGGAAAAGAAGTTGCAGCAGTTAGAAACATGCTAGGACTAACATGTCATGAAATTAGCTTCAGAAATTGAGACGTCAGTCATTCCGTCTTCATCGAGACGGAAGAGAAAACAGGAGAGATCTGTAGCTTGTGAGGCGCCCGGCCCGCCATGTCTCAGGAACGTGTGCCTCGCAGCAGCCGGCGTTTTGCCGTGTGCCTGCTGGATGTTTTCAGGAAAGGGGCCGTTCAGGTTCGCTGTGCAGGGTGACCGGGCGTGGCCCCGCGCGCACCTGACCGCTTCCGTCTGCTCTCCCTTCCAGGATCCCAGTGACCGCCTCCCTCCCCCCGCTCGAGTGGCCGCTCTCCCACCAGTCCGGCGCCTATGAGCTGCGGATCGAGGTGCAGCCCAAGCCACACCACCGAGCACACTACGAGACGGAAGGCAGCCGCGGGGCCGTCAAGGCTCCGACGGGCGGCCACCCTGTCGTCCAGGTATGGGCTTGCCTTCCCTTCCTCTGGCGTCCTCGTGGGCCACCGGGCCGCTCGCTTCTGCTGGGCTGTTGCTTGGTGCTGATGAGACTGCGGTGCGTGTCTCAGCTTCCTCTTCCCCCAAGGGATGGGAAGTCTGAGACTGAGCGTCGGAAGCTAATAAAGCCACTCAGAAGCCAGGAAAAAAGTCTTCCTGGCCTGCATGAGGATCGAAGTGATATTCATGCTGTCTTCTTCCTTCTCTTTCTGATTGAGAAACTACTATAGTTTAGTAGAGGTGTCTGGTTTGAAGGTTTCTGAAGCCATCATTTTGTGTTTAAATTTTAGGTGAGAGTCCATTAAGGAAAATCAGCATATTGAAAAGTGGGAAAAAGTTAGAACTACACACAGTCCAACTACCTAGAATAATGTTTTTTTTTTTTTTTTTACCATTTTGATATGTTTCCTGTTGCCTGTTTTCTATTCACAAACATACCAATGTCTGTCACTGTACATTTATATACTTGATGTTACAGTAGCTTGTACTTTTGATTTTTTTTTCCTCTTTACATTATACCCAGAGCATGTCCTACTGTTTTTTCCTTAATCATTACCTTTTATGTCTGTGGCTTTTGATTTAACCTCAGATAGTTTTTTCAAAATAAGTAGAGAATTGTTTTGTTTTGTTTTTTTATTTCCCTCCAAAATGATCAGAGTTAAAATATTCTTAATTGTATAGTCTGGTTAACCAGCAACTGCTGACTGGTGCCTACCTGCCAACTCAGACGTTTAATACAGCCTCTGAGCCACCAGGGAAGCCTAATACATCTGAATTAATTTAACTCTTTTTTTTAACTTGCCTTAAAGTGAAGGCAAAGTATTTAAAAGTATGAAGTGAGGGCAAAGTGTAAGTGAAGGCAAAATACTTATCAAAGTGTTCTGTTTTAAGAATCTGATGGTGCATCAGAACCTTTGAGAGTAGTTGTTAAAAATCCAGATTCTCGAGCATCTCCTGAAGCTGTAGGATATGAATACAATTCAGACAAAAAACAAACGTACAAAGCTTAAACCCTAAAATTTCCACAGGCAGCTTTGAGTGTGTACACCTAGGTAAGGACTTTGGTGATACCAGTTGAAACTTCCACATCCTGGTGGCTGTTTTTTCTGAATCTAACATCACAGTTTCGGGGGGATTTGTTTTTGTTCACTGCTTCTTTTCATTTACCACCTGGTACGTTTTCCTCTTTCTTTGCACATCCAGTAATTGTTGATTGTGTAGTGATACTGGGATGGTGATGTGTCCTGGGCGTTGTAGAGACTCTTGCTTTTGCTGTCTTCCTCTAAAGGTAGTTCAGTTGCTGGCCAGTCACTTTGAACTTTCACAGGTTTGATTTTACTCTGTTACGGTGGACCTGTGCAAAGCCCGAGGTGTTCCCCATACCCTTCAACTTCATAGGGTTAGCCACTGAAGTCCTTCTTTTGTGGATCTAGTTGAGGCTTGGTTTTGAATTTTTACTTAAAAGTTTTTGTTTATTTATCTATTTTTGGCTACACTAGGCCTTCTTTGCTGCATGCCGGCTTTTTTCTCTAGTTGCAGAGAGCAGGGGCTCCTCTCGAGTTGCGGTGCACGGGCGTCTCATTTCTGTGGCTTCTCTTGTGGTGGAGCATGGGTTCCCTGGCACGTGGGTTTCATTAGGTGAGGCGTGCGGGCTCAGTAGCTGGGGCTCCAGCGTTCTCGAATGTGGGCTCAGTAGTTGTGGGATGGGCTAGTTGCCCCGAGGCATACGGGATCTTCCCAGACCAGGGATCGAACCTGTGTCCTCTTCATTGAAAGGCAGATTCTCCACCTCTGGACAGCCAGGGAAGTCACAGACTTGGTTTTAGACTATGTGAAGGCAGGTCCAAAGTAGGCTTTACTCTAAGACATGACCTCATTCTTAAGGCCTAGTCTTTTCGGATGCTTTTCGGGGAGGTCACTCCTCTCTGATGGGCTAGATTTCCGATATTCCAGCTCCGCCGAACCTGCAGCTTCTGTTTCCCTTTTTACCCTGTAGCTTCCTCTTTCTGATAAACCCTGCACATTTCCCCTGTGATTGCCCAGCCCAGGCCTTGGTCATGGACTTGGGGAACCCCCCACCCCTTTCCTCCTCTCTGATGCTCTACCCACGGTTTCTAGCTGCTTCCACAGCCTGGGACTCTGAACCCTGCCCCCACCCCTTGCTCAGCAGGACCACCGTGCTCTGTTTGAACTCCACGCTCTGGATGTGGGAAGGAAAGTGTCCCCAGGCAGAGAGCTGCAGGGAACATGGGTTCACCTTGCGTGTTTCCTTTCCCTCATGGACCACGGTCGTATGCTGCCTGCTGTCTTAATGCCTGAAAGCAGTTGGCTTATCTTTTTTCTGGGTTGAAAAGGCACATCCGTCTTTATCCTTTCATGATCTTCGATCTCAAATATACTCAGCATTGTTTTAACTTTTTATTTTATATTGGAATGTAGCTGATTAACAATGTGATAGTTTCAGTGGACAGTGAAGGGACTCAGCCATACATATCCATTCTCTCCTAACTGCCTCCCTCCCCCGAAAGCAGTTGACTTATAAACTTTTGTTCTATTTTATAGTTGTTTATGATGGTAGGGCTGGTCTGGTATTATTTGCTCCATCGTGCTTGAAAAGTGAATTTTGGAAAATAAAATCTTCATATCATTATCAAGTGAGGCTTATCTGCTCTAGGACGAGAACCTCCTGGCCTGGAGGCGGTGGAAGGGTATGTTGGAGTCAAAGCCTTTGGTTGTAACGGAGAGAGAAACTCATTCAAAGCCAGTGAGCAAGGGGGGAGTATATGAGGAGCCTATTGGAGTTACATATAGCCAGGTCAGGAGATTCAGCTCAAGAAGAACCTGGGCTCATGGTCACGATTCTGAGGTTTACTTCTCTGCTCAGTCAGTCCAATAACAGGTGGACACATCCTGCAGGAATTTGCTGAGTACCTGCCCTTTGCCATCTGCTTAATGCTGAGGTTCAGTAAAGAGAGAAGCTATGGTCTTCTTCTCTATGGAGCTCACGATCTGGGGGTATAAAGTTGCTGACTTAAATAATCATGCAAACAATAACATTGCAAACTGTGGCAAGTGGCAGGAAGGAAGCGTGCATGAGGCTCTGGGCGCGTAAGATGGAGAAGTCAGTGTAGACAGGGGAAGGTTTCCCTGGGAAGACGTCCTTGAAGACGAGACCAGGGCTGAGGATGCGTGGTGGGAGCAGCGGGTGCAAATGCCCGGGGGCAGAAGGAAGCAAGGTAACTGGACTGTGAAGGGCCCGGGGGAGGGAGCAGGGGGCCGGAGCGTGGGTGGCCTGGTCAGCCAGGGGGAGGCTCTGGCTTTCAACCTGGCGCAGGAAAAGCAGGGAAGAAACAAGAAGAGCTGGGAGGCTCTGGCCACGGTGTCTGTCCTCGAGGGGCTGCGTGGCATCTTTGCTCCCTGATTATTCAACAAGCGTTTGTGGAGCACTGCTCTGTTCCAGGCATGGTTCTAGATTCTGGGATATGGTATGAACAAAACAGCCAGAAACCCTCACCCCATGAGCTTACAGTTTAGCAAGATGATGCAAATATTAGTTAACACTTAGTGAGCACTTACTGCGTGTCAGACCCTTTTCCAAGTGATGTCTGTGTTAAGTTAAATGAAACTCGTTTAATCCTCAGAAGAGCCCTAGGAAGTAGTTACAGTTAGGTCAAGGAGATGTCAAGGGCCTTACTCAAGGCCTTAGCTCTCGAATGGTGGACTCAGAATTTGGACTCTGGTGTCTGGCTTTGCCTGCTAGGCAGCTTTTCTCATCTCCCACATCTCTCTGCAGACCAACTTTCCCTGCCTCCTCGTTCTCACCAGACAGAGAAGGCCTGGTGGAAAGATGCCCGCACCTCCTGCCTGTCAGATTTTCTATGCTGTCTTAATTCTAGTCCCTCACCAGCTTGTTGGAATCCAAATCCTGACCTTTAGGGAGATTCTAATTGGCTCTGATTAGGGAGGGTGCCACCCGCTGGTCCAGTTAGCTTGGCCAGAGAGGTCAGACCATACGCAGTGCAAGGCTCTGCTCACCCATTCATCACGGGCTGGGGCCGTGGGAAGTTCCAGAAAGGGAAGTGGACGTAGATGCAGTTCTGAAGATGTCCTCTACACCGTGCCTGGCATTCACGCTTCTCCTTCCAGGAGCTCCCCAGGATCCATCTTTTTTCCTCCTCTTTTTTGGCCACACATGCAACAGGCAGGATAGTAAGTTCCATGACCAGGGATCAAACCTGCGTCCCCCACCCCACCTCCCACAGTAGGGCCACTGCTCCGCCAGGGAAGGCCCTCTGCCCCTCTCCTGGTTCCTTACTTTGAAAACCCAATGTATGACTTAAAAATTTATAGGCATATCCTCAAAAGACACAAAGTGAAGCTTTTTTTTTTTTAATCATTTGAATAGATTGGGTTTTCTTCAAAATGAAATGTGCTAACCCCTGATTTGTTTTAGCATAGGAAGTCTTTTTTTTTTTTAATAACCTCTTTGAAAAATGAAAAAAAGAGGGGGCTTTAAGAAGACAAGGACTCCTAACCTTTAAGGAGGTGTGAAAACCTCTGTCAAGCCCTGGAGTCTCGCCCTTGCAGTCCCAGGAGAGCCCTGTCTCGTCCCTTGCCTGGGTGCTTCTGCTGGCCCCTCTCTTGCTCTCTGCCTGTCTCGCTCCTTCCATCCGTGTCTATTTCTGTACTGTGCCCTGGCTCCCTTTCCTCCCTCTCAATGATTGGTTCTCACCCTTTATTTGCCACACGATAGAACTTCACTTTTTCTGTACGCCTAGTGGTTTTATGCGCCTCTTTATATGAAAATAAAATGAGTACACGACCATTTCTTTCACTTTCTTTAAATATAAAATTGCAAATCTCAAGCATATGCCCTGTTCCGCTGTTTTTTCTTTTTCTTTTGTCTTTTCTTTCTCTTGAATGTCAGTGGGTCTGGGAAGAAAGTCTGCTCCAAACTTTAAATGCT